ATCATGAAGCAAACGTAACATGAGGTATGACTGTACAGTGGTACCTCAGGTTAAGTACTTAATTTGTTCTGGAGGTCCGTACTTAACCTGAAACTGTTCTTAACCTGAAGCACCACTTTAGCTAATGGGACCTCCTGCTGCCACCGCGCCGCCGGAGCACGATTTCTATTCTCATCCTGAAGCAAATTCTTAACCCGAGGTACTATTTCTGGGTTAGCGGAGTCTGTAACCTAAAGTGTATGTAACCTGAAGCGTATGTAACCTGAGGTACCACTGTATTATAAAAATATTGTCAGTATTTTAATAGCCAACGTGTAGCTTGTTGTTCAGAGTGTTCTGTTTTGCAATACAGGGGATTTTCTTTGCTGTACAAGGAAGTATGCTTGACATCTTCATTATATAGTTTTCACTGGATGCCCTAGGCTCTGTGGTTTAGACCACAGCGCCACCCGCATCCCTCTGCAGTCCTATAAATGTAGGATAATCTGCAATCCTATGCTGAGTAGACATTTATAAGATTGAATTCTACCAGGATATATTTCATCATTTTAAGGACTGCACTCTTGGCTCCTGAGGCTACACTATCAGTGACAACCCACAAACATGCTCATTGTGACTTAATTTTACATGGATAGAAGTGGGTTTGTCTGCAGTAACTGTGCACATGTCGGCTTAGAATTAAGCCACACTGAATTTCATGCGGCTTACTCCCTGTCTTTGGCAAGCCTAAATTAGTCTTAAAGGTGCTATGCAGGTCTCTGAACAAAGTACCTAATAAGCTTCCAGCCCACCTCCCAGCTTGTTCACTTCTACACCTTCTTTTTCAAGGGTGTGGACTGAGGTAGAAGTGGATTAGGACTTGGGAGGCAAGGGCTCAAATGCCCACATAGCCTAGAAGTTCACAGGGTGGCCTTGGACCAGTTACTGTGTCTCAGTCTAACCCACCTCCCAGCACTGTTGTGATGATGTGACAGGAAGGAGGAGAACTATGCCACCTTGAGCAAAAGTGGGATATAAATAAATCTACTACATTAGATGATAGATAGATAGATGATAGATAGATAGATAGATGATAGATAGATAGATAGATAGATAGATAGATAGATAGATAGATAGATAGATGATAGATAGATAGATAGATAGATAGATAGATAGATAGATAGATAGATAGATGATAGATAGATAGATAGATAGATGATAGATAGATATAGATAGATGATAGATAGATAGATAGATAGATGATAGATATAGATATATAGATATAGATATATCATATTTCTTGCTCTATAAGATGCACCAGACCATAAGACGCACCTAGTTTTTGGAGGAGGAAAACAAGAAAAAAAATATTCTGAATCCCAGAAGCCAGAACAGCAAGAGGGATCGCTGCGCAGTGACCCCTTTTGCTGTTCTGGCTTCTGGGATAGCTGCGCAGCCTGCATTCGCTCCATAAGACGCACACACATTTCCCTGTGGGGGTGCGCTAGAAAATAGCAGCCTTTCCCTTACTTTTTAGGAGGGAAAAGTGCGTCTTATAGAGCGAAAAATACAGTATATTGAGAAGCGGTTTGTCCATTTCTTCTCGATGTGTTCAGATGCTTCCTGTGAGATGGTTGCCAAATGGCATGAGGGTTCTCAATGTGGGCACTTGGATGTGACTTCATATTTTCTCGGCATAGGTTTAGCCACCCCTCAATATATCATCAGGGACACGGGTGGCACTGTGGGTTAAACCACAGAGCCTAGGACTTGCCAATCAGAAGGTCGGCGGTTCGAAACCCCACAACGGGGTGAGCTCCTGTTGCTCAGTCCCTGCTCCTGCCAACCTAGCAGTTCAAAAGCACATCAAAGTGCAAGTAGATAAATAGGTACCACTCCGGCAGGAAGGTAAACAGCATTTCTGTGTGCTGCTCTGGTTCGCCAGAAGCGGCTTAGTCCTGCTGGCCACATGACCCAGAAGCTGTATGCCGGCTCCCTCGGCCAATAAAGCGAGATGAGCGCCGCAACCCCAGAGTCAGCCACGACTGGACCTAATGGTCAGGGGTCCCTTTACTTTTACCTTACAAGATATCATCATCATTTTTTTAAATTAAATTTATATACTGCTCTTTATCCAAAGATCACAGGGCAGTTTATGGCATAAAAAAACAAAATGGAAAGAACAAAATCATAAGAACAAAAACAATGAAAACCCCCCCAAACCCCTCCCACAAACACATTTTAAAGGGTATAGATTGTTCAATCGCCCAAAGGACTGGCTATAGAGGCCTGTTTTTGTCTGGCATCTAAAGATAGATAGTGAAGGCACCAGGCAAGGGAGTGCAGCTGTGCAATAGTGTCAAACCCAGGGTGATGGGGGCCCTTTGGATTCCTGCACCTTTGGCCCGTGCGCAACCTGGCTGGCAGCTACCCTTGGCAATAGGGACAGGTTAGGGCCGAGAAGAATTGTGCCACACATTGTACATGGATTGAGCCTTCTACCCCATCTTGTGGCAGACAGTGGCGTCACAATGAGGGGGGGCAGTGTGCCCCAGGTTCCATGTCTGTGGAGGTGACAAGAAGTCACCCTGTGGGGGCTCGTGGCGACGTGAGTAGCCATCGCGCTGCCACAGCCGCATGTAGAGGGTCCTCTAGTCACGGCTGCAGCCACAAGAAGAGGATGGCGGCACCGTCCGTACGGCGCTGGAGCGGCGCCGGTGGCATGGCAAACCGCTATACAGCGCATGTGCAGCGTCGCTACGTATGGCGCATGCGTCGTACATAGCAATACCGCACATGCACCCTACGTAGCGATGCCCGCCCCAGGTGTCACGACACCTTCCTTTGCCCCTGGTGGCAGGAATGTAGGGTCCTAACATTCAGATAATTGCAGCATATCCCATGGGTTTTGGCTGCATTTACTGATGAGGGACGCGGGTGGCGCTGTGGGTTAAACCACAGAGCCTAGGACTTGCCGATCGAAAGGTTGGCAGTTCGAATCCCTGCAACGGGGTGAGCTCCCATTGCTCGGTCCCTCCTCCTGCCAACTTAGCAGTTCGAAAGCACGTCAAAGTGCAAGTAGATAAATAGGTACCACTCCAGGCAGGAAGGTAAACAGAGTTTCCGTGTGCTGCTCTGGTTCACCAGAAGCGGCTTAGTCATGCTGGCCACATGACCCAGAAGCTGTACGCCAGCTCCCTCGGCCAATAAAGCGAGATGAGCGCCGCAACCCCAGAGTCAGCCATGAGTGGACCTAATGGTCAGGGGTCCCTTTACCTTTACTGATGAGGAATTATTTATGCAGCTTTATTCGATCCCCACATGACTGCATCCTCTCATATACATACATACTTCCGTAATTTTATTTGTATGTCACCTTTCCACAGTTCAAACCATGCTGAAATATGTAACTGCAACATAGCAAAAGTAGTCATAAAGACTAAATAAAACATTAAAAAATACACAACCAAACTGAACAATTTCCACAGGAATCACAAGAAGAGCTAAAATAAAGAAAAAAGAAATGAGATTCACCTGGCACGACTAGTTTTTTAGAAACCCGTGCTGTGTTTTAATAATCACATCATCCATTTCTAAATGCTTTTCAAAGTGCCATGTGGTCCCATCACTATACATGGATGCTTTTAGTTAAACCTGCCTCTTTTAAATGCCGCTATTTCAACCATTTTAACAATTTATTGTAGGGAGCATTGATTTTGCACAAATGATCAAGAAGAGGGCACAATAGGAGGGAAACAGGTGTTTACCTCCCTGATCCAGCTTTGGCGAGGGAGTAGAAACTGCAAAACTGGTTCTCCTTTTGGAGTTTCATTAGCTTAGAAACCCCTAATCAGAAATCCATAATAATGTGTTTCTAAGGATTGTTATTTTGTGTTGCAAGAGACTTCGGATCCTCTTGAAGCTGGTGATGCCTCAAAACTTCTCACGGTTATTAGTCTGATATTAGTCTGACTGTTGTTGCTTTTGCATTAGTCACGCCTTGAAATTTTCAGCACTCACACACATAAACAAGATAGTTAAAATCAACCTCTAGCTGCTTTAGTTCTTGCTGTAGTAATGGTGATAGTAATGGTGATAATGATATCTGCTGCTTGTTATCCATGAAATTTGCCTGCCCCCCCCCCCCCGTAATTAGCCTTTTTTTTTTTTTACAACTTGTTAAGTTGGGGAAGTGCAGTCCAAAATTCAGAGAATCTTGAAGGATAACCACATTTCAGTTTGCAGTACAAATTACAGTGGTACCTCCACTTGCGAACGGGATCCGTTCTGGAGCTCCAGTCGGATCCCAAGGGATTTGCAACTGGAGGTGCTGCTTCTGCACATGCGCGTGGTGTGGTTTAGCTCTTCTGCTCACGCGCATGGTGTGTAGAGTGCTTCTGTACATGCACGTGGGGCAAAACCCGGAAAAATACTTCTGGGTTTGCCGCGTACGTATCCCAAAGAATACGTAACTGGAGGTGAACCTAAGTACAGTGGTACCTTCAGATTACATACGCTTCAGGTTACAGACTCCGCTAACCCAGAAATAGTGCTTCAGGTTAAGAACTTTGCTTCAGGATGAGAACAGAAATTGTGCTCCGGCGGCATGGTGCTTCAGGTTAAGAACAGTTTCAGGTTAAATACGGACCTCCGGAACGAATTAAGTACTTAACCGGAGGTACCACTGTAGAGGAACCACTGTACCGACCTAAATTGCTCCGCTACCCCTAGTTTCAGCGTTTTCCTAGGTTAGTTTCATACCCTAGCTAATATTAATTTCTTCCTGAGATTATATTTTCTTGGGTAAGATCTTATCTCAGATCAGTGTTTTTCTTCTTCTTAATCCTTTTATTGCACAGTCCTTTTGCACAATCCTTTTATTCCCACAGTTCTTTCGTCTTGCTGTGCTTTGAAGTTCTCGTGATGCACCCACATAAACAAGAGACTGGTTGACACTCGTTTGGCATCCTATAGAATAGCATACAGTTTCTCCCTGTAAAGGTGATGGGCCAAATCAGATGACCTGCGCTCAGAAACTGATGAACCCTGAGGTGTTCTTGAATGCTCTGGGGGACTTTCCAGTGGAGACAGCTGATGACCTTGGTCTCCCTGTAGAACAGTGAGATCAAACAGGCCATTGAGTCCGAGCAACTTCTTGGCTCTCTGAAGAGCTCCAGGTTATGAAACAAGCTTCCGGGTCAATCGAAGGAAAGCTGTTTGGGGAATAATTGAAAAACAATTTCAGATTACAAAGTTTGCAGTCACTTCAGAAACTAAATCAATCAAACCTAATCCAATTAAACTGCACACTCAGTACCATTAAAGTAAAACCAAAAGGCACTGGGAGCTGTTCCAATTGACACTAGTTTCGTGGCTCGTTCTGCCCCTGTGGGAGGCAAGGGATAGAGACAGCCAAATATTTATTTCAAAGAGACATGATAGAACCAGCGCTGCTCATGCTTTGTGTTCTGCAATCATCTCCACTGATTGTACAAGTTTTTGCTTTTCTTCAAAAGCTTGCTAACCAGCAGTAAGGTAAAGGTAAAGGTAAAGGGACCCCTGACCATTAGGTCCAGTCGTGGCCGACTCTGTGGTTGCGGCGCTCATCTCGCTTTATTGGCCAAGGGAGCCAGCGTACAGCTTCCGGGTCATGTGGCCAGCATGACTAAGCCGCCTCTGGCGAACCAGAGCAGTGCACGGAAATGCCATTTACCTTTTCGCCGGAGTGGTACCTATTTACCTACTTGCACTTTGACGTGCTTTTGAACTGCTAGGTTGGCAGGAGCAGGGACTGAGCAACGGGAGCTCACCCCGTTGCGGGGATTTGAACCGCTGACCTTCTGATCGGCAAGTCCTAGGCTCTGTGGTTTAACCCACAGCGCCACCCACGTCCCTTGGTTTAGAGGTGTAGTGCTTACTTAAGCTCATGTGTCCCTGTTCCCACCCCCACACCAAACAGGTAACTATTAGTGCTTCAACCCTTCTGTTGCTACCTATTACATTTCCCTGAACCAGCGCACCAGCGCACATCCATTTTATTCATGGTGGAATTGATGGCAGAAATTCTCCCTAGTACAGGGGTCAGCAACCTTTTTCAGCCGTGGGCCAGTCCACTGTCCCTCAGACCATGTGGTGGGCTGGACTATTATTATTTTTTGGGGGGGGGGGGGAATGAACAAATTCCTATGCCCCAGAAATAACCCAGAGATGCATTTTAAATAAAAGCTCACATTCTGCTCATGTAAAAACACCAGGCAGGCCCAACAAATAACCCAGAAATGCATTTTAAATAAAAGGACACATTCTACTCATGTGAAAACACGCTGATTCCTGGACCATCCGCAGGCCGGATTGAGAAGACTATTGGGCCACATCCGGCCCCTGGGCCTTAGGTTGCCTACCTCTGCCCTAGTACTTTCCTCCTGGTATCACTCCCTCCCTCTCTCACTCACTCACTCACTCTTACATTTAGATGCCACCTCTCCTCCCAAGGGCTCATAGTGGCATACATATGTAGTTATCTCTCCTCCATGTCACATTGTTGAACGGAGACTAGAACCTTGGTTTCCCAGATCCTAGTCTGACACCCTACCATACCACATTTTTGTATGTTACTTTTGTGAATATATGCATTTTTATGCGCACTACCCCAGTGTACACATTTTTTCTACACATTAGCTGCCAGAAAACCTGCATTGCAAACTTTGGAAAAATGCCAGTTCCCAAGGATGGCTGTTTCTGTGTACATATAGCTTCAGGACCTTCAAATTAAGTACCGTTTTTTCGCTCTATAAGATGCACCAGACCATAAGACGAACCTAGTTTTTGGAGGAGGAAAACAAGAAAAAAAATATTCTGAACCCCAGAAGCCAGAACAGCAAGAGGGATCTGGCTTCTGGGAAAGCCTCTTGCTGTTCTGGCTTATGGGATAGCCGAGTGCAGCCGCTCCCAGGCAGTGGGATGAAGGCTAGCTCAAGAGCCACGCTCCCTTTAAAGAGCGCGCAGAGCATGTGTGCGGCTCTTTAAAGAGAGAGCTGAGCAGCCTCCCACCTTCATTCACTCCATAAGATGTACACACATTTCCCCTTTCTTTTCAGGAGGGGAAAAGTGTGTCTTATAGAGCGAAAAATACGGTAACTTAGCTTCCCCCTCCTTTATTTACAGCACCACCAGTCACTTCCAGATCTCCCTTTGCCGTGAACTTCTTACCTTATGTTTGATTCCATCCTGCAAAGTCATCCACATTTCCCCCTCCTCCCCTTGTTGCTTCCCCTTTTGTTCCAAAGTCAGATCCATCTATTACAGAGTTAAATCTGCATTTCTATTGATTAAAAACAAAGAAATATTTAAAAGCTGTGTACTTTCAATCTACCTTCAAAAATCATAAACCACAACTGGAATTAAAAACACTTCCGTCTCTTACAAGCTCTAGTTCAGATATTATTTTAGTGCAAATAAATTAACCTTAGCAAGGGTTAACCTTTGTTTGCTCTGTTTATTGGCTCCACCTAGATTCATGATAAGTGGAGCAACTGTTTATAACCACTTGCTTTTTCTGCAAGAGCTGGCTTGTGCTTTTGTGTCACAGAGCTCCGAGAGATGGCTTTCTGGGTGATGGTCCTATGTGCTGTCCTGGCATGCATATTGGGGGGGCTCTATCTGGTGGGGGCGTTCCGCCAGAGGAGAGCCAAAGAGCCCCCTTTAGATAAAGGCCTCATTCCGTGGCTTGGACATGCACTGCACTACCGAAAGGACGGCGTTGCCTTCTTGCAAAGGATGCAGAAGAAGCATGGGGATATCTTCACGGTACTGCTTGGAGGATACTATTTCACTTTTGTGATGGACCCCCTCTCCTATGGAGCTATTGTGAAAGAAGCAAGAAGCAAGCTGGATTTCAACGCATATGCAACACAACTTGTGGCCCAAGTGTTTGGTTTTCAACCAGAAATGAGCACTCATAAGATAATAGAGAACGCCAGCGTGAAGCACCTCAAGGGCAATGGGCTCGTGGTGATGACCCAGGCCATGATGGACAGCTTGCACAGAGTGATGGGCCATAGCATGAGTTCAGCTGGAGGGGAGAAGTCCTGGAAACAGGATGGGTTGTTCCACTTCAGCTACAACATGGTCTTTAGGGCTGGCTATCTAGCCCTGTTTGGAAACACAACCAGCAAAGGTGAGAAGAACAAAGAAGATGCTGAGAGGTGTGACGTAACTCGCTCTGAAGATGTGTTTGTAGAGTTTCGCAAGTATGATAAACTCTTCCCAGGCTTTGCTTCTTCCACGCTGTCTCATGGAGAGAGAAAAGAGGCTGAGTCTCTGAAGAGACTATTCTGGAAACTCATGTCTGTGAAGGATGTATATGAGAGGAGTAACATCAGTGGCTGGATAACTGACCAGCAAGAGCAACTGGCTGAGGCTGGGATGCCTGAATACATGAGGGATAGATTTCTGTTTCTGCTCCTGTGGGCAGCTCAAGGTAATACTGGACCAGCTTCCTTCTGGCTTCTTGCCTACCTGATGAAAAATCCCAAGGCGATGGATGAGGTGAGGAAGGAAGTGGACAGAGTGGTGGGAGAATCTGGCCAGGAAGTGAGGGCAGGGGGTCCGGTGCTTAATGTCACCAAGGAGATGTTAGACAAGACCCCCATCTTGGACAGTGCTGTGCAAGAGACTCTGAGACTGGCAGCAGCCCCTATGCTGATCAGGGCTGTGTTAGTGGATCTAGAACTCAAGATGAACGATGGGAGAAAATACCTTCTGCGCAAAGGAGACAGAGTTGCCCTTTTCCCCTTTGTGGCAGCACATATGGATCCAGAAATCCACCCAGATCCCCATGTTTTCAAATATGACCGGTTCCTCAGCCTAGACGGCAGAAAAAAAGAATTCTACAAGAATGGAGAAAAGGTGAAATATTTCACCATGCCATGGGGTGCAGGGACTTCCATGTGCCCTGGGCGATACTTTGCTACCAATGAGGTGAAACTCTTTGCTTTCCTGATGCTGACATACTTTGATATGCAGCTGGTTAATGTGGAGGAGGAAATCCCTCCCGTAATCAAGAACCGCTATGGGTTTGGTGTGATGCAGCCCACACACGATGTTCAGTTCAGGTACCGACTTCGCCACTGAAGGTAGGAGGCAGAGGAAGCAACCTGGTATCATGTGCCTGTGAATCTTCAGGCCAAAATAAGTTTAAAAAGAGATCAAATGTATGTTTCCGGATGTGGGTAAAAGCTCGTGGGAGAACGTAACGCTTGCACAGAATGTTTGGTAGAAGCCATTATCATTTAACAAGTCATTTTATCCTCCAGTTTTATTTTCCCATTGTTATGGAGTGAAGTGGAGACTGTGGGCCTTATAACTTTTTAAAGTGTGGTAGAATTGATAGCATGTAAGCTAATATTCTGTGCTAACAGTTATCTATCTAAGCCTCCAAGCTCAGGCCTGCTGCTTTCAAAGCATTGGAGTTAAGGGTTAGCAGAAAAGTAGTATTGGGTGGCGGTGGGGTGCTTGATCATTCTCACACTAAGATACTTTCATCTGCAACTCCTTCTTCTGGTTAAGGACTTTTAATCCTTAGCGCTGAAAGCTGAGGGCCCAAGTTAGAATCTCATCTCAGCTATGAACTCAGTAGGTGGCCTTTGGCAAGCCAGGTGTATCTCATTGTCTTTGGGCTTGTACATTATTCCATTTGTCCCTGCCTAGAAAGCATGGGTCTGAATTGTTTCCCCATTATTCCACTTATTTCCCAGGGAAAACCCACTCCTTGGCTGTAAATCAGAACAAACGTCAATCTGCAGAAAACCCAATTGCTGTTTGCTCCAATTGAGCACTAAAGAATGGCTTTCCCCAGGGAAAGCAGCAGGACAAGACAAAGTGTGGATAAGCCCTGTGTCTCTACCCCCAATCTGAAGTGAGAGGTGTGTTTGTGTGTGTGTGTGTGTGTGTGTGTGTGTGTAGAACTAGGCACTGTGTTCCTCCCTTGCTCTGTGCACTATGAACCCCATGGAATGTCCTAACTTTAGAATTCAAAAGCTTCACCCGGACACATTTTCTTACCCAGCACACAACACACATCCTGCCTAGTAAGCACACGTACAGGAGATTTCATCCAAAAGACCAAGCATACAAGCAAAAAACCCACAAACCTTTACTGCTCCCTCCCGCCACACAAACGTTTAGGTCCTAAACTGTTCTTCTTCTTATTCCCATCTAATGGTACTACGCAATGTCAGCCTTTTCCCTCGGAAAGGCTTGAACTGAATTGAATTGCCATTTGCTCCAGTTCAGCAGCAAAGAGCAGGTTTTTGTGGGGAAAGCATGGGGGGGGGGAGAGAGAGACGCTCAGACACGGTGCTTTAGAGTGCTGAACTGAGCCTAGAAACGCGGCACAAAAGCAAGTCTGGATGAGACCTAAGATAGGAATATAGAGGAAACTGCTGTCATCCCAAGCAACTCATTTCCCAGTAGCTTCACTCTGAAGTTGTCATTAGCAAGCGAAATGGGCCTTCACCAAATAAGGACACAAGCTATTTTGTACACTAGGTACCTTTCATAACATGTACAGGACTTTGCCTCATTATTTGCAAGGTGCAAGAGTTCCAGGTATGTGTCAACATTCATCTTTGCACCTGCAATCAACTTTATCTCTTTTATTTATTGTTGTGCAAGACAATGTCCTTGGGGCAAGCTTTGATTCTGGCTCCAACATCTTGAGTATCTTGAATATCTGTTGATGACATGAGTACTTGTAGGTGTAAAGGCTTAAGCATAATTAAGAATGCATGCTTTTAACTGCTTTTATTTCCCCCACATCATCTGCTCTCAACTTGTATGGAAAATACCACCTCTGTGCTGCTCCTATGTTTTGTAATTTTGATTGTTATTATTTTGTTTGTCTGTACCTTTGTTTATACATGAATGTAAAACCTTTAAAATTGAAAAGAAATACTTATGGGAAATGAATGGAATATGAGGAAACAATAAAGATAAAGATAAAGCGACTGTGTTGGGCAGGTTGCTTAGACATGTAATAAAAGTGTCATGCAAAGTGATTTGCTAACTGGTTATTTCAACTGTGTGCATTAATTTTCATCCTAAGAAACGCTTTCAGTCTATCATAACATAGTCGTCACCAACAACTCTGGCATAAAATCTTTATTAAAATAATTTATTTAACAAAACAGCTCAATATTCATAAATATCTTTAGTTGTGCTCAAAATACATGCAAATAGGAAAAGAGGTAAGTCACTTCATTCACATCATATACATAAGAAAAGATGTTGTTAGTCTAGATGCTGCTAGTAGAGTAAAAATACAAACCCTACATTAAAACACCTTCCTCCTCAAATGATGTTTACCTCCACAGATCAACTAAAACTTCAAACCGATTAAAACCATGAGAAACTTCAAAAAAGGAGCCAGCTCGCAAGCCAAGACCTTTCCTCCCTGTGAACTCTTATGTCAGCTCATCTTGCATGTGGGTTATTCTGACAGCAGAAATAATTTTCTTCATGTATTTTCAACATTCAGACTCTCTGCACTAACACTTCAGAATTTAAAGCTCAGTGGTCTGTTCTTGTTGGCTTGATTAAAGTTCCTCTAAAGACATTAAGGCAAAGTGGCTTGCTCAAGAAAAGTTCTTAGTTTGTTATCTTAAGGCCTAGTTCTTTCACCAAAGTCCATGGATTTCTGCTAGTACTTAACAGCTCACAACTGTTTAAGAATCAGTCTGATTCACAACCAGTCACATTTTTACAGCCTTGGTAAAGGTAAAGGACCCCTGGACAGTTAGGTTTGGCCTCTTGAATGTGTGTGTGGCATCAAAAGGTCAGAAATAATTCAGCTTCTTTGTTCCAGTGGCAGATTCAAAAATTTCAACAATATAAGGCATATAGATTGCCAGTCAAACTGGTTGAAAACAACAGGCTTCCAAGGCAGTGCATAAATTTGGTTGTTCCAGAAGAAATACCACATCAAGTCTAGCTAGCACAGCAAAAGAGGGAATATATTGATGGCAACTGAGATTACAGTTGTGCCAAACAAGGAATAACTTAGCCAGATAACAGAAACTTATGTCTTTGCTTGGAAGTCATCCTGGACTGCAAGGCTGCATGCAGCCCACTACTTCTGCTACGGTAAAAGACCTCAAATACACTCGCAGATAAGACTATGAACTATTCTCATATATGGACAAAACTCTTTGCATGCGAAAATGATGCACTTATGTGACATCTTTGACTCTCCAGCTGCTTATAATTAACGGGAACATCAAGCAATGATTCATAGCCGATAGGGTGCTAGAATTACTTCTGCGGACCTGCTGGGCATTCCTAGAAAAGTACAAAGTGATCTGCATTAGCATATCTTATTATATGATTAACTCCTGTGTTTCAGTGATAGGTTCCATTATTCCTGCAGGCTAAAACATTTCTCTCACATATCTGATCACGATCACCATATTTGTTCTGCTAGGTTATCATTCAGGGACTAACTACACCCTCACCAAATCTGAAGTTAATTAACCACAGAGAACAAGCTAATGGTTCCTTTACTGCAGAGCTTTCCAAACTGTGTGTTGCAACATGTTAGTGTGTCAGTTGCAGTGTGTAGGTGTGTCACATGAAGACTTCCAGCACTCCTCCTAGGGCTGGAAAGGGGTTAGTTTACCCTCCAGTTTGCTAGTAAAACTGTGTCGTGAAATGATGCTTATCTAAAAAGTGTCAACAACATGAAATGTTTGGAAAGGTCTGCTTTATTGAAATAGTGTTTCTCTGAAATAGAGCACAGATAGCTTGTAACAGAGAGCTATAGGTAAAGGTAAAGGGACCCCTGACCATTAGGTCCAGTCGTGGCCAACTCTGGAGTTGCGGCACTCATCTCGCTTTATTGGCCGAGGGAGCCGGCGTACAGCTTCTGGATCATGTGGCCAGCATGACTAAGCGGCTTCTGGCAAACCAGAGCAGCACACGGAAACGCCGTTTACCTTCCCGCCGGAGTGGTACCTATTTATCTACTTGCACTTTTGACATGCTTTCGAACTGCTAGGTTGGCAGGAGCTAGAACCGAGCAACGGGAGCTCACCCGGTCGTGGGGATTCGAACCGCCGACCTTCTGATCGGCAAGTCCTAGGCTTCTGTGGTTTAACCCACAGCGCCACCTAGAGAGCTATACAAAGTACTATAAAGGCCATAAAGACTGACAACCCAATCAGTAGAAAACAACAGGTTTTGAATGAAGTTTGAAGCAGCACAGTATGAAGTCAGGCTTCCACAGCAAAATGGGAGGGGGATTTGATTACAGCTTAGATTATAATAATATTCAACAAGAAATCCATTTCCTGAACTGTCAAAACAAGTTTCTTAGCTAGACAGTCATTCTGGCCAACATTACTCCAAGCCCCAAAGGACGTTCTTGGTTGCATCGAAGGATCACAGATTGCTCGTATTTTACAGACTCCTGTTGACAAATCAATTGTATGTTTTGCGATATTCTCTTCTTCTTCTTTAGCTGCTGAGCACCAGTGTTCTGCTTAGCTCAGAGAGTTTATAAAATTGTGTTCCTAGGAACCCATGAGTTACCTTGGAAAACATTTTTCAAGGCCTTTCTTACATTTTCAGATTGGAGCATCCAAAACTGACAAGTACACAATCACCAAAGAAGGAGATTCCAGAAGTTAGTCATAGATTCCAACACTGAACTGTTCTGGAGAGACAGGAAATTTCCCATAATGTTTCATCTAACCCATTATTATTGCCTCCCACCACAATTGTTCCACTCCATAATGACATCTTCAGATAAACAACATTGCAGGATAAATGAGAGATATGCATGACCCACGACTTGGTATCCATTCATGAAAATACAGATTATGATTACTGTGGGTACATAAATATGCAGGTGAGCAGCAATCCTTTGACTCACACCTACTTGTGACCATTCCTTTTCAGTCCAGAAGCCAGAAATTATAATAAAACATTCCTAGGTGTGAGTAGGATCATGTGGAGATGGAAGTCTGAGAGTGATTCTCTCTGAAAGTGTTTCACTACACGGTCATCACGCCATACTTGGAACAGAGTAGAGCCCTTTTTCTTTCCCGCTCAGCTAGAAAGTTCCTCAGTTTAGTGGTGGAGAAAGTAACTGTTGCTTGTTGCCTCTCATCCAAACCTGTTTCTTGCAGCCATGGAGACTGAAGGCATTCAGATGCTATTGGCCGCCTCCTAAGTAGAGAAAAGAATAACAGGTCCTAGGATCAGTTGTTTTGCTATCTCCAAGTGGAGGGAACTAATTCTGCTCGTTTCTCACCTGCTCGCAGTCATGGGATAGACTCTATACTTTACCCCTTCTTAGTATTAAAGGTAAAGGGACCCCTGACCATTAGGTCCAGTCGCAGACGACTCTGGGGTTGCGGCGCTCATCTCACTTTATTGGCCGAGGGAGCCGGCGTACAGCTTCCGGGTCATGTGGCCAGCATGACTAAGGACTTCTGGCGAACCAGAGCAGCGCACGGAAACGCCGTTTACCTTCCCGCCGGAGTGGTACCTATTTATCTACTTGTACTTTGACGTGCTTTTGAACTGCTAGGTTGGCAGGAGCAGGGACCGAGCAACGGGAACTCACCCCGTCATGGGGATTCGAACCGCCGGCCTTCTGATCAGCAAGTCCTAGGCTCTGTGGTTTAACCCACAGCGCCACCCGCATCCCTTCGCTGCTTAGTATTAGAGTGATTATTTCATCATGCTCGGGGAGCAGCCTCAGCTCAGCAGAAGAACACAATCAGAAGGGGGTGGGGAAAGAGAAATCAAATCTCTCACTTCTCCGTTTAGAAGGATTTCAGGTAGATCTTGGGGAGAAGGACTCTTGCCTGAGGCATTAGAGAACTACTGCCAGTTGAGTGGGATGGACACAAGGATGTTGTGATGTATTGGAAGTGTGCTGGCCTGTGAGTGCACCCAACTAGTGATGTGCTACAAACAAGTGACAACTGCTCTTACCTACCTGCAGAATTCATCAGAGCCAAGTAGCTGGAGAACAGGCCAGTGCCTACCACCTTTTTTTTGGGACGCTAGGTTTTTGCTTGCCCAAAATAGGGGATGAATGAGTGGGCCATTGTAGCCTTGTCTCACAATACAGTGGTACCTTGGGTTATGGATGCTTCAGGTTACAGACGCTTCAGGTTACAGACTCCACTAACCCAGAAATAGTACCTTGGGTTAAGAACTTTGTTTCAGGATGAGAATGACCTCTCTCCGCTTAAAACGGGGGGCGCCCTTTGCGTGGACGCGCGCAGCCCTGGATCTGGAGCGGCCCCATCAGCATAGGCTTGGCTTTGCCTTCCCTCAGGTGGGATACCTGGAGGTCCCTGCCTACCTCAGTCAGTTGTCCAATCCCACCTGGGGGAAGCGTTGCCAAGGAGACCAGGCCAGGTAGGGGAGGGATTACCTGCCCACACAATAGAGGGAGGATCTTACCTGGGAATCCTCACTTGGCTCCAGAGCTTCTCCCACCCTACCCACCCTCAGTTAATGTCTTCCTTTGCAGGTTAACTTTTCTTCACAGGTATGCGGGTGCTGCTACGATAAGGTCGCTGTTAAAGGGCTGGAAAGGAATTTCCCTGCATTGGCAGGTTTCGCCTTTCCCATAGCAAAACGTCACAACTTTGGCGGTATCAGGCCTTGGGCGGAATCCTTTAGTCCATCTTCCTCTTTGCGACGGCGATACCAGGGTTCCCTGTTAAAGGGGTTTCTGAAGGGAGGCTTTGACCGTACGCCGAAAGGTCGTCATTGCTCTCCCCTGCGGCGGCGGTGGCGTAACGGGGGCGGCTATGTCTGCTTGAACATATGTTCTCCAGAGCCGGCCCATCCCCCTCCCCCACACACTGGATAACCCTGAAGCTCCCTAGGTCCCCGGCTGGGGACTGGGGAGGAGAACGCCCAATGCCTGAGCCAAGGTCTACCCACATTTGAAATTTAATAAAGTTGTGGCCAATTTAATCCCATAGCACGTTGTCTTGAGTCGTTATTACACATGACGGGGGGGACCGCTCGGGATCTGGGGACTCCGCCTGTCCACGCAATAGAAATTGTGCTCCGGCGGTGCGAGGTACCACTGTACTCCAACCACACAAGGCTAGCTTGACTTCCCACAGGGTAGACTCACACACTGTCTAATTTCCATTACACAGTTTGGAAGTTTTATAAATTACTAAGTGGCTCCTGTGGCACAGTGGATCAGTGTTTCAGGCTGTTAACCAGAAGGTTGATGGTTCGAGCTCCCCCAGGGATGGCGGTGGGCAGAATTCTTGCATTGCAGGAAGTTGGACTAGATGATTCAAACTCTAGTGTTCTCAAGTGCTTAAGCTATTGGTTAATAAACTAGACCTAGTTTACCCCATAACCTGTCTCTTGCCTCTTTATTACTGATCTCCTAGGACAACTGCTTTTGGGGGTTCATTAGTTAAACTGAGATCACTTGAACGAGGCTCTCTTTTTGTGTGAGATACAGTGGAGGGACACACACACACTCTATAATAATTAACTAATTCTTGAGAAAGTCTGCCTTAGATAAAGAGCAACCTTCGCACCATGGATTAGAGGACAGTGTGCTTTGTAGGAACGAAACGGCTCCTCCTGAAAGGCCTGCATAGCATTTGTTGAACTTGATCTTCTCTCTCTTCACAAGCCTCCCAAAGTCACAGGCAGCCTCAGAGCTGATTGGGTATTCAGCGCTCAGCCTGAGGACAGAGGAGAAGAGTATTAGAAATGGTTCTTTTGCCCTTGGGCAGAAGCAAAGCAGCACATAAAAAACCTCACAGTCTCCAACATTGATCCGGGGAAGCACACAGATACTGTTTTAAATATCTTTCGTAGATGCTTTATTAACTAGACTTGTGCTCAGTCGAGATGACCCCTGCCATCGTCAAGTAAGTTCTTCTGGGAGAGATCTCCTCCTTGGTCCAATTCCATGCAGGGTGCTTGGAAAAGTGGAAGCACCCACAAGCCCACTCACCGCTTAGTCTTTAAGGGCTTCTGCAAGGCTTCCCATTCCTCCTCCTCTATTGGTTCTCTCCCATCATCACCACCACCAGGAAGTGGAGTTGTCACTCTGCCTGGGCTTGGATCACAGCCATCCCAGACCCCATCATGCTCTCATGGCCAAGCCACAGCCTCCCCTCACTTGCCTTCTCTTCTAGCTCCAGTCTCAACCAGGGCTTGACTAGCCGGCCTCCTATTCCAAGGAGTGGCAGCGTTCTCTCTCTTTCTCCAGCCTGTCTCTTTCCCTCTCGTCCCTTTTTTCCTTCTGTCTCAATGCAGCCTTAAATATCCATGCCCTTTCTCTGCTTCCCATCCAACTCTTGCCTCCTTCTGACCCTCCAAGACTTGCCTTATGGGCTCCTTTCACCTCTCCCTCCTCTGTCCCACTGCCCCTTTGTCTCCTGCCATCCACTGGGGTCCTTTCACTTACTCCTGTACCTCTTCTACCCATTTCTGTTCTTTATCTCTCCATTTCTCTCTTCTTTGGCCGGCTCCTGACTGCCTGGCAGCTGCCCACCAGGCAGCTTGCCTCCACCCCAGCTGATTTTTTTGGGGTTGTTTGCCGATTTTCAGTTTGGCCCACAAACTTGCAGTTGCCTACAGCTACTCTAGATGATGCTTCTAGGGCAGGTGAGGAAACGAGCCACCACCCCAAGCTCTGTTATCATGTTAAGCACTTTCCCATCTTTATTCATCTCCACCCAACTTTTTACAAGTACAGTATCTGATTCTCACTCCCATTTCACAGAAGAGGCTCTCCAGTCTCTGTAGGGAGCTATGAAGAGCAAGATTTCTAAGGCACCAGAAGAGCTTATGGCTAATTGGGTTTAGATAAGCACATCTGCCCCACCTCAGATATTGTCAGGGACTGGAAGGATGTTGGGATTTCAGTTCCCACCAGCTGCCAGGAAGTAGCAAGAGCAGCAAGGTTGTTGATATCAGGTGATATCTCTCAGCGTGAGAAAGGAAGTCTGAGCCAATTCTCAATACAGGAGACACTGAGGAGTGGTGACTGGATTCTGATGATTGGGCACAGAGAGAAGGGGACTTGGAGACTGACTTGGAAGAAGGGATACATGAGCTGGGGAAAGCTGTAGCAGCCAGGAGATGAGAGGCACATAGCTGTCAACTGCACTGGCTCCTGGTGGAGTACAGGATCAGGTTTAAGGTGCTCGTTTTAACCTTTAAAGCCCTATACGGCCTAGGACCCTCGTACCTACGGGACCGCCTCTTCTGGTATGTCCCACAGAGGAGCTTACGGTCTTCAAACAAAAACATCTTGGAGGTCCTGGGCCACAGAGAGGTTAGGCTGGCCTCAACCAGAGCCAGGGCTTTCTCGGCGCCACAACCCCAGGGTCGGTCACGACTGGACCTAATGGTCAGGGGTCCCTTTACCTTTACCTATTATTGTGTGAAGTAACAGTATCCTGGTGAATTTCTGTTCCAAGCCTCCTTTGCATGTTTTCTCCAGATCCGCTGTGCTTTGGTGGATTTTTTAAGTTAATTATCCCTTTCCCAAACAGCCACGCACCCAAGAAAATGAAACTTGAAAAGACTTACATGATGAAAGCTGTTACTCCAACAGCCCAGATGTCTGTCTGTGGAACAGCTCCTTTGTCTGCCAGGAGTTCTGAAGCTAAGAAGACACATTTGTATTAGGGAAGCTTCCTTAGAAATGCAAATGTTGGTACTTACCATGATAAGCTCCTCCTCTGTAGGAAGAGGATCCTGTGTGGGCTGTTGCCACCCACCTATCCACTGGCAGGAAGTCAAACTTTTGAGAGGGTACACCCAGTGGACAGGGTGATCCCCTCACTAGTTCAATTTGTGCGTAAGCTAGTAAACCAATAGCCAAAAAATAAACAACTTATCAGAAAAAGGAAAGAAAAGAGCACAACCTGTTAAGGGAAAAGAACTCGGTTGTGATGGCCTGGGACTCAGGCTCGGACTAAGAGCCAGAGGAGTTCTCAGTCTGCACCGGACCCTTTGCCTCAGGAGGAAGCTGAACCAAGTCTGGGGCCTGATTCTGAAGAGCCCCAGTCTGCACAGGTTTCCCTGCAACAAACACCAGCTGGGCCAAGTCAGGGGCCTGAGCCTGCCCTGACTCCAGATGCGGGGATTACCTTGTTGCCGTCAGCTGGGCCATCACTTACAGCTGCTCCACTACCAGTTGGGTCAGGGCAGGCTGAGGCGGCCCCTGGGTCTAGTAACCCACTGGTGTCTCCCGAGCTGCAGAGACTGAGGTCTGAGAGAAGGAGATACCCGAGTACTTGCAGGAGGAGTGCTCGCCTTCGGGTGAAACAGGGAGGTGAGTCACCGGGGGATCAGGACCGGCCGTTACCCCGACAGAGATAAAAGGCTGCTGGAGCCTGCCCCAGGTTGCGGGAGCAACGTTGCTGTTTGCCAGAACCTGTCTGAGATCCTGTTCCTGACCTTGCCTGGTTTCCTGCCTTGGCCCTGTCGGACTGACTCCTCGCGGAACCCTTGGATTCAGGACCGGACCTGGACTGCATTGCTCGGGTTACCCGTGGGCCCAGCACATCAGTTGTCCCACAGTGGAAACATAACATTCTAGGTCAGCCAGTCCCTGGGGCTCAGTCCCCAAAAGCTGTAATGACGCATGTAATGTGGCACAGGTGAAGAAGAGAAGAAAACCCTGGTATGGGCTGAAGAGTAACAGAAGAGGAAAGGGAAACATGGGGGAGGGGAGACAGGAGGTCCCTGACCATTGTTGGTGTGAGTACTTTATGCACCCAGGGAAAGCTCAACTGTCTGCGTCTGATGGTCTCCCCTGCATTGCCTGGTGCCCTTCCTCCCTATAGAGAAGGAACTTATCACAGTAAGTTCCAACGTTTGCATCTCCTGTAGTGGAGGAAGGGAATCCTGTGTAGGATGTGTCTCTGTGGGCTCTTACCTAAGTGGTGTTCACTACCTGTCGAAGCACTCAGCTTCCAAAGGAGACCTTGGCTGAGGCGTGTCTAGCTTGCAATGCCTCTCAAAGCCAGAAGGTGAGGACCGGGTGCTTACCCTGCATATGCCACCCAGAGGGGATTGGGTCCCAAACAGTGCTTCTGGTGGAATAGACTCTGCTTCCCAAAGAGGCTTCCCCTCTCATAGCATCTGGTAATGCCAGCTTTTATACAGCGTGCCAGTGGAGTGTCTGCAGGAAGCTAGGATGGTAGAGATTACCATCCTAATTCTCTTAGGCCCTCCCTCTCTACAACAGGTATGGAGTTGTAACCAATCTGACTCTGGGTGGTGGACTAATCGCTGTGACACCAGGGTCCACCCTGGAGGGGAGGGGCAAAGGGTCTGCCACTGATAAGGCCATGAGTTTTGTGAACCAGCCCCTGCCCCCGGCAAGAAAAGAGTCACTACAATAATCTCATCTGGTGCAAATCTAACATCCCTGAGAAGTCTCAATTAGAGCAGTGGGAGGAAAGGTGTATAGAAGCCCCGTACCCAGCCAGGCAGAGGTCAGGGAATCCATGCCCAGCACTCCCTGAGTCCTGAATCAGGAGAAGAGCTCCACCTTTTGGTCTTCTGAATTTGTGAACTGCTCTGTGTCCTGGGCAGCTGTTTACCAGCTCCATCTGGTACGCAGGCTGAGACCCTATCTGCCCACGGACTGCCTCGCCAGAGTGGTGCATGCTCTGGTTATCTCCCGCTTGGACTATTGCAATGCGCTCTTTGTCGGGCAACTTTGAAGGTGACTACAACTAATCCAGAATGTGGCAGCTAGACTGGTGACTGGGAGTGGCCTTAGAGACCACATAACACCAGTCTTGAAAGACCTACATTGGCTCCCAGTACGTTTCCGAGCACAATTCAAAATGTTGGTGCTGACCTTTAAAGCCCTAAACGGCTTCAGCCCAGTATATCTGAAGGAGCGACTCCACCCCATCGTTCTACCCGGACACTGAGGTCCAGCGCCGAGGGCCTTCTGGCGGTTCCCTCACTGCAAGAAGCCAAGTTACAGGGAACCAGGCAGAGGGCCTTCTCGGTAGTGGCACCCGCCCTGTGGAACGCCCTCCCACCAGATGTCAAAGAGAACAACAACTACCAGACTTTTAGATGACATCTGAAGGCAGCCCTGTTTAGAGAAGCTTTTTAATGTTTGAGGCATTGAGATATTTTAATATTGTGTTGGAAGCTGCCCAGAGTGGCTGAGGAAACCCAGCCAGATGGGTGGGGTATAAATAATAGTGGTGGTAGTGGCGCCTGCCCTGTGGAACGCCCTCCCTTCAGATG